TTACTTGGCTTAGATTATTTTCAGGATTTTTAGGAAAGGGACACTTTCATCTCTGAACTTAAGGTTGTTCAGTATAATTGAACTAGTATCACAAGAAATGAAAGTAATCATCTAATCAAAGCTAGTAGCCCCCCCAGTGGCACAGCAATATGTCTGCGGACTTACAACGCTAGAAACCAGGTTTCGATACCTGTGGTGGGCAGAGCACAGATAGCCCATTGTGTAGCTTTGTGCTTAACTTCAAACAAACAATCAAAGCTAGTGTTTCAAATTATTTTTGAGTAGTTAACACTAATCAGTTAACAGGCCTGACAGTTAATCGATTATCAAATTTCACAAATCACCCAGCTCTAGTATTAAGTGCTCAGTAATTTGTGAAAACCTGCTCTTGATCTACTGTACCGATGTTTAATAACCTTTTATGTTTGTGAAAATGTTTGCAAGCATAAACTACACATTATGTAGAAAAAAAATGGCTTCTTCCTATATCTCAAAAGAAAAACCATTAATAAATAAAATATCATTGTCATTTAACATATACAATTCTTGTCAATATTATGATGATGATGATGATTTAAAACAAAAATCTAATAGATATGATAAATAATAACAGCTTGCATTCTTTGTTGTGTGAACTTGTTTAAATTATTATTATTGAATCGGTATAAAATTTATGAGTAACAGCTACATTTTTGGACCATAAATAAAGAGGTACTTCAAAGGAAATTTGTAATTGCTTCAAGAATTAAACTTCAGCAAGCATGAATATAGTTTGGACATAGATAGTTTTTTGAAGTTGCTAGCATGGTTCCCACAAGTAAGGAAATATGGAAAAACTCGGTGAATTTCATGTGATTCAGTGATGCTTCTGTGAGAAAATTGGCAAAAAAGTTAATTATCTTAGTGCCAAAGAATTGCATACAGATGAATTCTGGTGCATTTAGTATGTCAATATGCATATTTTTTGCATAAAGGTTGTTTGGTCTACATTAATCTTTTTATTTACTCTCATTTGCCATGGAGTATGAAGGCAGCCATAATAGATAATATGAACAGTAGCTAGGTTTCTGCCTAAATGGAGCATATATAGTTTAGTAGAACCCAAAGTGAACCTTGCAGCAGGATAAATAAAAAGTTTTATTGTTTTTACATGTTAGGTTGTACTCATGTCACAGATGCCATTTTATTGTATTTACAGAAATTCAAAATAACCAGTCTTGCCATATTTTATCTGATATATTTTACATAAGAAAAATATCAAAACATAAAATTGGTAATATTTTACCAATTTATTGTGAAAAACTTTACAGATTATCACATATTTTATATATAGCCTTTATAGTGGCAAAAAAGTTCAAAAATGATCAGTAAAAATTACTTAAAGCTAAAAACAAATGTCAGACATTTTGAAATATTAATTCGTAATTTGAATATGCAGAAAAATCATTGAAATTTCAGATATTTGATTGCAATACAATGGATTATGATTAAAAATATGACTAGTACTAAAGATGTACAGTGGGCCCTTCTCCAACATGGGGGATACGTTCCTCGAGCAAGTTATGTTAGGCAAATCCATGTTGGAGGAACCCAATACCTTATAGGATTAGTATGAATATGGGAACAAAGTCACGTTAAGTCTCTGATAAATGCTTATATACGAATTTTTTTTTACATATAAGTGAAAAGCCCCACCTATACAGTATTGTATATGAACTAAAAATATAAAATCATGAATATAATAACATTGACATGTGATATCCTGCACCTGTAAATGAAAATATCTTGAATGAAATAATACAATACAGTGTTTTATTGTAACACCTATGAATGATGAAGACGAAGATCTTTTGTTGATGAGAGGAAGACTTGCAATGATGATAGATTTGGAGGCTAAGAGGTTAGTTTAAGGCTGATGGATCATCAGAAAATTTGGCCTCAAACTCCAACGAAGCAGTTGTAGATATCGATGGGATTGTGTCCGAAGGTGTTACATCAGCTGACTTGGGCTTCATAAAGTCATTAATATTTGGCTGTTTTGCTTTCCTCCACAAATCTTTCAAGATTTCTCTGAAGGGTGCTAGAACATCATTAAATCCTCTTTTTAAATTTAATGCTTCTCTCCATTATGGGATCCATGTCTACATCCATTCCTGGGAGCTCATCTGCCTTGCATAGGAAATCGGACACACTGTGAGGATGGGTTTAGTAGGATCTGTCTATTCAGCATCTTTCATCAGTATCACTGTCAGCTATCAGTGCTTCAAGTTCTTCATTTGTTGGCTCTTAGTAATGGGATTCCAGCAGCTCAACCACCTCCTCATCCCTCATATTATCAAACCCCTCACCTCCAATTTCTTTAGCGAGTCTCATGAGATCAGAAACTTCTTTCTTAACCATTGGAAAGCCCTTGAAATCATTTACGACTTCAGGGCAAAGATAATGCCAGCATGCATTTATAGTAAACATTTTCACCTCATCACATGACATTTTTGGTGATATCAGTACAGTCCTTAATGTTATAAGCTTTTCAAAACGTGGTTAAATGTTCAAAAATACCAGAGTCTATAGCTTGGGTTGCAACGTCGGTAGACATTCTTTGTACAGTAAGACTTGAATGTTTTTATTACTCCTTGGTCCAGTGGTTGTAGGATGGATGTGGTATTGGGAGAAAAATATCTCCACATTAGGATGGCTGAATTGTAGTGTGTCAGAGTCATGGACAGCTGCATTATAACTATAACTAGAATAACCTTAAAGTTGAAGTTCTTCTTTGCCAGGTATTCTTTAACCTCATGCACGAAATGATTTTGCAACCAGTCATTTTAGTTATCCATGCCTTTTTATTTAAACACCAAACAACAGGCAAATGTCACTTATTCTTGCCTTTTAATGAGCATAGGTTTGTGGAGCGATACACTAACATAGGCTTGCATTTAAAGTCACCCGATGCATTCCTGCAAAAAAGAAAAGTGAGCCTATTCTTAAAGACCTTAAACCTGGATGCTACCTTCTGCTTTTTG